GTTGCGCAACACCTGCTCTGCTACCAAACATAATATAGTAGGTTTTGTCAGTGTTAAGTGTAAGTTTATTGGCTGTCATCCAAGTCGATATTTTGAGCAGCTCCTCGTTAACAATGGTGTTGAGGGTGGCAAGATTAGGGTGGGAGATGACATAAGTCGTGTCGTCAGCAAAGAGAATGGGTTTCAGGTGTTGGGATATGTTTGGAAGATCATTGATGTAAATGAGGAAGAGCAGGGGTCCAAGGACACTTCCCTGCGGAACTCCAGTATCAAGTGGCCGTATTGATGAGGCTGTGTCTTTAATGGTGACATACTGATACCTATTAGAAAGGTAGGATTTGAAATATGCAAGTGCTTGGCCTCTTATACCATAGTGGTCAAGTTTGTGGAGTAGGATGCCATGGTCAACTGTGTCAAACACTTTTCTTAGGTCTATAAAAATTTCTAGCGGATATTCCTTATTTTCCAATGTGTAAAGCAAGTCTAGCATTTTTATAATTGCATCATTAGTGCTTTTATTTTTCCTGAATCCAAATTGGCAGGGGTTGAGTATGTTTTGTGCCGTTATAAATGAATATAGTCTCCTGTGCACGAGTTTCTCGAAGATTTTGGATAGCAATGGTAAGTTCGATATTGGCCTATAGCTGTTGACATCTGTAGGGTCACCACCTTTATGTATTGGTGTAACCCTTGCTGTCTTGAGTAGTGTCGGGAAAGTGCTAGTTTCTAGTAACTTGTTAAAAAGTAATGTAATAGCATGTGAAAGGACATGGGCCGCTCGCTTGTACAATAATGGTGGGACGTGAGACAGATTCCCCGAGTTATTTTTAAGTGACTTCATGATCGCGGTGACTTCCGTGGGCTCAGTTGGTACAAGATAGAAGGAATTTGGGAAATTCCCATCTAGGTAGTCCCCGGCACGGGCATTGGTATGTGGGATTTTACTGGCGAGATTAGATCCTATGTTTGAGAAGAAGTCGTTTATCTTGTTAGCTGTGTCAGTGGGATGTAGTGGTGTTTCATGAGGTTTAGTTAGAACAATATTCTTGTTTTTTTTTCAGTTTGTGGGTCCCCAGAATCTGAGAAAGTGTTTTCCAGGTCTTTTTTATATCTCCTCTTGTGTCAGTGAATCTGCTGGAGTAGTATAGTTGTTTGGCTTTCTTTATTAATTTGGTGAGAACTGTTGAATATTGTTTAAGAATATCTTTGTGTATTAAGCCCTGTCTATATTGCTTCTCATATTGGTGTTTCTTATCAATGGATTTCAGAATGCTGCTGGTTAGCCATGGGGAACCAAGCCGTTTGTTTGTGATCTGTTTCGTTTTTATGGGACAATGTTTGTTGTATAGTCTAAGTATTTTGTTAAGGAAAATGTCTGTCCAGTCATCAATACCATTGGCCTTGGAGAATTCTGTAGGCCACTCAACAGTCTCTAGGTCAGCTGTGAACTTCCTTATTGAGGCCTCGTCATGGAGTCTAAATGAGACTTTGTTGTATTCAAGTGGTGGTTTACTAATGTTTGTTAAGAGGAAGGCTTACACCTTGTTCCAAGGTTCGTAGGTTCGAGTCTCCTTCAGCCAGAGATCAGTGTTTATACATATATATATATATATATATATATATATATATATATATATATATATATATATATATATATATATATATATTGTGCCGAATAGGTAAAATTGATCACTTTAAAAAATTGGTCCTTTCAATAATTTTCTCTTATACGTATAAAGATTTTTTTTTTCATTTATGTTAATGTAAAAGTTAATTTTGTACCAATAGAACCTTCGGAAACTGACCTAACCTTGGAGTTTACCTGGAGAGGGTTTCGGGGGTCAACGCCCCCGCGGCTCGGTCTCAGACCAGGCGTCATGGTGGATGAGGGTCTGATCAACTAGACTGTTATTGCTGGCCGCACGCAAACTGACGTACGAACCACAGCCCAGTTGGTCAGATACTGACTTTAGGTGCCTGTCCAGTGCCTTCTTGAAGACAGCCAGGGGTCTACTGGTAATCCCCCTTATGTATGCTGGGAGGCAGTTGAACAGTCTTGGGCCCCGGACACTTATTGTGTTGTCTCTCAGTGTACTCGTTGCACTCCTCTTTACATCGGAGGGATGTTACATCTACCGATTCTTTTGCTTTCATAGGGAATGATTTTCGTGTGTAGGTTTGGTACCAATCCCTCCAGGACCTTCCAAGTGTATATTATCATGTATCTCGCCTGCATTCCAGGAAATACAGATCAAGGGCCTTCAACCGTTCCTGGTTGAAGGTAATTTAGGTGCCTTATCGTACTTATGTGTGCCGTGAAAGTTCTTTGTACACTCTCCAGGTCTACAATGTCGCCAGCCTTGAAGGGGGGCAATTAGTGCACAGCAGTATTCCAGCCTGGAGAGAACAAGCGATTGGAAGAGAATCATCATGGGCTTGGCGGCCTTGGTTTTGAAGGTTCTCATTATCCATCCTATCATTTTCCTAGCCGATGCAGTAGATGCATTGTTGTGGTCTTTGAATGTGAGATCCTCTGACATTATCACACCCAGGTTCTTCACATTACTTTTTCACTCTATTGTATGGTTAGAATTTGTGATATACCCTGACACATTAATAATTTCCTCAAGTTTTCCATATTTGAGTAGTTGAATTTTTCCTCGTTGAACTTCATATTGTTTTGAGTGTCCCATTCGAAGATTTGGTTGATGTCCACTTGGAGTCTCGCAGTGTCTTTGATGGAGGTCACTGCCATGGTGATCCAGGTGTCATCCACAAAGGAAGACACGGAGCTGTGACTTACATCTCTGTCTATGTCAGAAATGAGGATGAGCTCAAATATATCCTAATCCAACTAAATATATTTTATATAATTTTACAATAATTTAATAATAAACAATGAAATATATTTTTTCGTTAGGTAGAGAATGATTTTTGCGATATTATTGAATACACAAATTTTTTCTTGCCCTATTCAGCAAGAAGTGTATTGCTATTTAAGCCAAAATCGCAAGTTTTACTTATTCGGCACGACATATTTTTAAAGGGGTGGACCGGTAAGCCAGCTGAAGGCCTCGGTCAGATAACCAAAGCTCCTGCGGCGGGTCATCATATGACTAAGATCCGCATCTGGAAACACTTGTCCTCACATAGCTAGAAAATATCTTTGATATTATGTAAATGATTATGGAGTTGCCATTTACCTGGTTTTCTGTTGTTTATGATTTTTGTGTAGGTAGGATATGTGGGTTGAGATTAAAAGTGTAGGAAATGCTATTTTTTGAGTCAGTGTAGCTTGAGGCATCCTAGGGGTAGGATGTATTTCACACTTTCCAGTTTAAATACCCTTATATCGGCCTGGGATGGAATTAGGAGGATAAGTGGGGGACCTTGATGTATGTAAATGGCAGGTGAACACCTGGTAAAAAGAAGAGAGAGTTTCCCCAGGCTACAAGGCAGAGTAATATCAAACTAAATTATCAGTATAATGGTGAGGAAATATATTTAATCATGGGTGTATTATAATTATTATAATCATGGAGAAGCGCTAAACCCGTAGGATTATACAGATCTACAGTTCCCTAGATCAAGAGCCTCTCACCAGTGTCATTACAACTTGGGTGTAATGAAGTACCATGGGAAGAAAATGTTAACGTAAATAATTAGCATAGCTAGTTTAGTTATTCAGTGTGACCATAGAAATTTTAGTTGTGGAAAATTGCATTTATCTGAATGTAACTAATTATGTACATAACAGTAAATGATAACAAAGATAATTATTATTTATCAATGTTACATAGACAGGTAGGAATTTGGGACACCTAGGTCGCAAAAAGTCCCCCTTCGATACCTACCACTGTCATAACCACAAGTTGCTCTGGACCTATTAAATGAAATATACATACAACAGGAATACTGGTAAATATATAAATTTGTTGACTCTATATTAAAAATAATAAATGGTTATATATATATATATATATATATATATATATATATATATATATATATATATATATATATATATATATATATATATACACACACAATTACATAACAGAAGGAAAATATATCTTAATATCACTCACCAATTTGACTGGAGATTAATGTGTATCATACTCAGAAAACCTCACTCTAAATCTATGAAAATAATGCTGGCCAGAATTACACACAAATCTAGAGAGCTTATCTGAGGTTCCTGGAGCTGTCTTGTCCAGTCGTCTGATATCTCAAGTTATGCAGGAATGCACATCCAACAATTTCGCCTCCTGTTTGAGAGGTGTCAACACAATTTTAACCTCTAGAGCACGAAAAATTCTTCCCATTACACCAACGTTTGTACAAAATTCAAAACCAAGATGGCGAGTCTCGTCTGCGCAGACGCAGGCTTTCCCGTTTTCTATGACATAAATATTATTAAATACAGTATGGCCATCTATTTACATATAAATACTGAATTTCTGGAAAATATATACAGTATTTTCCACATTAGTATAAGGCACTGAAAGATAATAAGAGGATGTTACTAGTATACTATAATGTAATGTTTATTACTGGTATTACACTATATAACTGTAGATGTGAATTTCATTGACCTCAAATTGTATTAACATTGATGTCTGTTGACTATTTATTTATTAATATTGTTATTATTATTTTCCTGAAACATTATAATTATTACCACCAACATTCACATAATCTCTCTTATAATTTTCTCCATTCATTATTCAGATATATTCTATATTTACATTTTCCTATTCCTGACATAAACTGGTGACAGTACTTGAATTATTATTTATTCTTCCCCATTTTCTTTCCCTTCCAAACCAGCTAATTACAACTATTTTTACACCAGTCATTATGTAGATACTTGTACAGAACTTCCTAATATCCTTACACGCATTTGTGTTTACATATAAAAGGGTAAATACTTATTTTCCTGGTCACTCTGTGACTCACTTTCTACACATGATAACCCCAGTTTGTATCCCGTGAGACAGAACATGGCTGAGTGGCGACGAAGTAAAGGTGTGTACGGTTGAGGAGGGACTGAGTCTCGGGGACCTGGTGGTAGTGGCGATCCCCGCAGCTCACCATAACTCACTTCCTACGGATCTTCTGGCCAACAAAATTGTCATCGACATAAGCAACAGGTGAGCTACGTAACAAAAGCATAGTTTACTATTTAGTTTTGCTAACCAAAATAGGACCTAAAAGGAAATAATCGTTCAAAATATAGATGTAGTCTTTGAAAATAAATATTACACTTGAAGCTTCACAATTTTTTTTTGTTTTGAATTTAATCGTTATCTCTAAATTATGGTGAAATGGGATAACTACTTCTAACCTGTAAGTTACGCAGTGTTAACAATTGATTTGCATTGATTTTGTAATGCAAAAAGGTCCCCGGAGAAGCCACCAGAGGGCCTGAGCCTGGCGGAGAAGCTGCAGGCGATGCTGCCAGAGTCCCAGGTGATAAAGGCTCTCAACACCATGTCCGCTTATGTCCTCCAGACAGGCAACCTTCACAGCGGCAGAGAGGCGAGTTATTTTATTAAAATATAATCGAGTACATCAAAAGAGTGCTGATACCCTTCAACATGTAATTATGCCGAATAAGGCAAATGAAAATTTGTGTATGCAATTTCGAAAAATCATTCTAATCCTAATGAGAAAAATATATTTCATTGTGTTTATGACGTGCTGTTGGAGTGTAAGCAGGGTAATATTCATGAAGGGATTCAGGGAAACCGGCAGGCCGGACTTGAGTCCTGGAGATGGGAAGTACAGTACCTGCACTCTGTAGGAGGGATGTTAATGTTCCATTTTTATAAGTGTAATGTTAGCGTGCCTCTGGCTAGACAGTGATGGAGTGAACGATGGTGAAGGTTTTTTTTCAGGCCACCCTGCCTTGGTGGGAAATGGCCGATGTGTGAATAAAATAAATTATTTATTAAATTATTGTAAACGTATCTAAAATATATTTAGCTGGATTACGCTAAATTAAATTGCACTAGTTATAATAAGGTTAGGTAAGTTTTCTAAGGTTCTATTGGTACAAAATTATTAATTTTTATATTAAAAATTAAAAAATGTATTTCTAAATGTAAAAGCGAAAATTTTAGTAAGAACTTAAGTGTTTAAGTGCCCTTGCTCAGGAGAGAGTGACAGTAAACCTTGTTGACTAAGTGACGTTGGCTGCCCCAGTGAGGGCAAGGGGGGTGTGGTGTGGGCTGAGCTGGGTAGGCCCATAGGTGGCAGCACCAGCATGGCACGAAATATGAACCAAGCTGGGCATACATCGCTCGGCTACCTACCCATGGTCGTCCTCAACTGTGATTGACTGAGAAAAGATTTTCGGTCTCTCACTTTCAGGAACAGGGCACAACACGGAATAAAAACATACTTATGCATGTTGACATGGACAAAAAGAAACTTCGTACAGGGAGGGAAGAAAAAAAAATAGGGGTGTGCTAACATTGTGGTCCTAGGCAGTGAGACTCGGTAGGCGTCACTACATGCGTCTGGACAGATACTGCAACACAGGAGACATTGCTGTGGCTGAGCTGAGATGTAATGGGGGTACGGTCTCCTCTGGAACAGTGAAGCAGTTATCATGGAGTAGTCGCTGCAGGTTTCACTCAACCTGGGGCACAACCTACTGGTGCCCTCAAGTGAGTCATCATCAGTACTCGGCAACTGGGCAGGACTTCTGGCAAGCGATTCAAGAGGACATTTCACGACTGGTAGTGTTCCTGGGGCTGTCACTGCCGGCAAGGGTGGAGTGAAACATCTGGGAGTCATGGCAGCATATACCTTAACTGTAGTGAGCGGGCCATCAGTGAAAGTGACATCATCTTTGTGCAGGCTGGTCACTGAAGCTGTGACATGAGTCAGCCGCCTGCCGACAGACCTACTGCAGCTTGACGATGTCATCCTCTCGACAGTTGGAGTCATAACAGAGGTTAGTCTAAGCATCCTCAGACTGGTTTTCTACACATAACTGCACTCTGACAGTCAGGAGGTGAGTGAAATGAGTCTCACTGGGGAGTCGTAGCAGGTACGACTCAGGCACGGCATCTACGAGCGGCGAGCATAAGTACTCTCTATACATGGGGCTCAATACTCGTAACCTAACCTGACGCCTGGACTGACTAGTGTCAGCCGTCGAATGCAGTGGCATGTAACATGAGGGTGTTACCAATGGTTTGGACTCAGACCACACTGTGATCTTCACACACATCTGGGCTCAGACCACACATTGGGACACACGGAAAACTGCACACACCCACACTACACATGTGGTTACAACACGGCTTGCATTAGCAAAAATCGGCACTACGATATACACAAACATGTAAGAACACTGAGAGGAATTAGTACACGACAAATCTTCTCTCAGTCGTTCTTTACAATACTAAATACAGCCTCCTCACTTAGCGATGTACTCATTTACCGACTCCTTGGACTTACGACGGACTCTCTAACCAGTATTCATACCTAAATAATGCATAGTAGAGCTGATTTCCTCTATTCTGTTTATTTCAATATACAGTACACTACTGTATAAACATTTAAAAATATACCAGAAATTTTATAAATGGTGCAAAGGTAACATTAAAACAATATCAAAGACACAAGTGCAACTAATGTGACATTTATTGTGGCAACGTTTCGCTCTCCAGGAGCTTTATCAAGCCATTACAAACAATACATGGACACAGAGGGTATATAAAGGCTCAGAGTGAGGTGTAATACTAGTGAGGTACCATTTCGATGTTCACTAGTGGTAGTAGTAGTAGTAGTAGTAACAAAAATAATACAATATGGAAGAGCAATTAATTCGTACATGAGTAAAAGGATATAAAAGCTATTACTTGGGTAACATAAAAATAGGTTGGACAAATATAGACTGGAAAGAGGCAGGTTTTTTTTCAGTGTTCACTCTCTGTAATGTGCTTTGTGTAGTATAACAGGAGAGACTATGTGATGGCAAGGTTTACTGTTTTCAGGAGGATTCTTGCTAAGACTTCGGAGATGGTGAAGCTGCCGTTGTTTTGTTTAATTGTATTCGAAACAGCGATCAGTGCTGATTCGAGGCACTTGCGTCTGCGGAAATTAGTTTCTTTGATCACTAATTGGGCGTCTCTGAATTTCATGAGATGATTGGTGGAATTTCGGTGTTGTACACAGGCGTTGTTTAAGTTGTCGTTCCTACATGCGTAAATGTGTTCACTGAGGCGGGTGTCGAGGTTTCTTGCTGTTTCACCTACGTAGATCTTGTCACAGCCTCCACAGGGTATAGTGTAAACTCCTGCATTGACTGGTTCGTGGTGCTTGGGTTTTGTCCTGGTTAGATCCTTTATTGAAGTGGTAGAAGCGATGGCGACTCTGGTGTTAGCTTGTGAAAGTACTTTTGAGACGTTTAGTGCAACCTGGCTGTTGGGAAGAATTATAACTTTGTTGGGAGCGGTGTTGATGCGTGGAGAATTGATGATCTGAAGAGCTCTTTTCTTGCAGTCTTTGATGAAAAAAGAAGGAAATTGTAACTCAGTGAATGTTTGGTGAATGTAAGTACATTCCTCGTCAAGAAACTCATAACTGCAAATTCGGCATGCTCTTAGGAAAAACCCGATGATGATGCCTCTTTTGGTCTTGGTATCTTGACTAGAATAGAAGTGTGTGAGATCATTTTTATTGGTGGGTGCATACCGAATTTGCAGTCCTGAGTTTCTTGACGAGGAATGTACTTACATTCACCAAACATTCACTGAGTTACAATTTCCTTCTTTTTTCATCAAAGACTGCAAGAAAAGAGCTCTTCAGATCATCAATTCTCCACGCATCAACACCGCTCCCAACAAAGTTATAATTCTTCCCAACAGCCAGGTTGCACTAAACGTCTCAAAAGTACTTTCACAAGCTAACACCAGAGTCGCCATCGCTTCTACCACTTCAATAAAGGATCTAACCAGGACAAAACCCAAGCACCACGAACCAGTCAATGCAGGAGTTTACACTATACCCTGTGGAGGCTGTGACAAGATCTACGTAGGTGAAACAGCAAGAAACCTCGACACCCGCCTCAGTGAACACATTTACGCATGTAGGAACGACAACTTAAACAACGCCTGTGTACAACACCGAAATTCCACCAATCATCTCATGAAATTCAGAGACGCCCAATTAGTGATCAAAGAAACTAATTTCCGCAGACGCAAGTGCCTCGAATCAGCACTGATCGCTGTTTCGAATACAATTAAACAAAACAACGGCAGCTTCACCATCTCCGAAGTCTTAGCAAGAATCCTCCTGAAAACAGTAAACCCTGCCATCACATAGTCTCTCCTGTTATACTACACAAAGCACATTACAGAGAGTGAACACTGAAAAAACCTGCCTCTTTCCAGTCTATATTTGTCCAACCTATTTTTATGTTACCCAAGTAATAGCTTTTATATCCTTTTACTCATGTACGAATTAATTGCTCTTCCATATTGTAGTATTTTTGTTACTACTACTACTACTACCACCACTAGTGAACATCGAAATGTTACCTCACTAGTATTACACCTCACTCTGAGCCTTTATATACCCTCTGTGTCCATGTATTGTTTGTAATGGCTTGATAAAGCTCCTGGAGAGCGAAACGTTGCCACAATAAATGTCACATTAGTTGCACTTGTGTCCTTTTACTTTACATATTGTCGGTAATTCTACCAACTTTATTACAATATCAAAGACAAATTCACTACCATTATAGAATGCTCCTCACTTAGCGACGAATTCGTTTAATGATGTTGTCTTAGGAACGTAACTCTGTCGTTAAGTGAGGAGAGGCTGTACAAATTGCTTACTGTGAAACTGATACTGCTGATGTGACATCATGTGGTGATGTCAAGCATGACGTAGTGAGGGATGTCGTGGGGTGACATCGCGAGGTGACGTCAGGGCAGACGTCTAGAGTGATGTCTTGAGGTGACTTTAGGCAGATGAGAGGTGACATCACAAGGTAGCATCAGGCAGTATGGTGACGCCGGGTAGATCTCCTGGGTGATGTCGGGCAGACATCCTGGGGTGACATCGCGAGGTGATGCCAGGCAGCAGATAACAGCATGTGGCTCTGAACGTCTGGGTTAGTAATCCACGCGATTTTAGATCCACGTGGCCTTATCCACACATGGCTTCATGATCCACATGGCTTCGAGTGACCTCGGGCACTCAGATGCACAGCTCTGGCAAATAATTCACACTGAATTCGGAAACAGCAAAGAGGGTGTAAGAGTGTAGTGGTGTATAGTGGTAGAGATGAGTGTGGGTGGTGTATGACGAAGAGGATCTGGCAGCTTCCTCCGTACCCCACATACCCACTTGGAGAATCCACCAAATGTATGCCTAGTACCACACAGCTCACCTTTGACTTGCTGAAATAGCCGTGCTGACCTGAACAACAAAGACAGAAACATGCAGGTGACGCTAAACACGTGACTGCAGAACAGCGTGGGATGCTGTGAAGATGCAAGCGACGCCGCTAAGATTTT